TCCCCTCCCAGCTGATCCCTCCCCCCCCGCCCACAATCAAGTGTGTCTGGTTTTTTTTTTGGGGGGGAGGGGGTCTACCTGGTATCCCTAGACGCCATACACTTAGTTTTCTGAGGACTTCTCTGTTAGAGTTAATAAACTCCTTTTTTTCAAATTGTAAGGACAGACATCAGCTGAAAACTCTGGAAACAGTTGCAACTGCAAATGTGAAACATTTATTTAACACTTAAGATTTAGTTTAATAAAATCTAATTATTATTGTGTTTGCATGCGTGAGTTAGTTCTTACCATTCCTAACGTACTGCTGCTATACAGCTTTTTTAAGTGTTCAGCCAACTAGGTTGAACCTCTCTAGTCCTGAATCATCCGTGGTCTAGCATGATTTTAGTTAGCTGCATGTCCACTTATAATAATGGGTGTGGCCAAGTTTCCTGCAGTCCCATAAAGTTTGTTTACAGCCACCCGTCCTGGTTCTCATGGTTCTGTGCTACCATTTATCTCTAATTTATCCCTAAATGTCTTCTAAATGCCCAGTAAGCAGTGTGAGTGTTGGTAATGTTGCTAGACAACATTGACCTCCTGTGGTCTGACAAATTCCCTGGTTCAGCACTGGTTAGGTTCTGAGGGTGCCAGACTAGAAGATTCAACATGTACTATATACAGTTTCCTAAATTAATAAAAATCAAATTATCTTAAAAAATGACAAAGTATACCCCCTTAGATGTTGGACTGAGCAGTAAATTAATGTATTTCAGTGATCAGATTTGCACCATAGAAGATATTAGCCAAAGTCATCACTCAGAACAACCTGCTCAGAAAATTGGCTAGTTCAATTGGGAGTGCAAGCCGCAGATGCTTACATCATCAGTCCTTGTCCTTTACTATTCAACAGCAGAGTACTGTGCCCTTGTCAGGTGTTGCTGGTCCCACATGTGGCTAGTGAACATAGAGCTTAACAAAGTTATATGTATTATTACTGGAAATTTATGGGCACCTCATTTGCCATGGCTTAGCAACATAGCACTGTCACGTATTCATCATGAAAAGTCCTCTGTCACATTGGTTGCCAAGATCTGGGCGAATAGCAATCTGCTGTTGTGTGCAGACTTCTTCTCCCAGCTACTGGGCTAAATTATAAATATTTTCACTTTAAAAAAAGATCTACAGGTCCAAGCTCGAAGGTACATACAAATGTTTAATTTATCTGGCACATAAATACCTTGCAACACTGGCTATAACAGTACCTGTTCTCATTTTCAAGTGACATGGTAAATAAAAATTGGGAAGCAGCAACTCCCATAAATGTAAACAAACTTGTTTGCCTTAGCCAAGAAAAAGAAGAAGAACAAGTAGAAGAACTGAGTGGACTTGTAGGCTCTAAAGTTTTACATTTTTTTTGCAGACCTTGACTTAAACAAAAACTAATTTTACATTTGTAAGTTGCACTTCCACGATAAAGAGATTGCACTACAGCACTTATATTAGATGACGTGAAAAATACTCTTATCTTTTTACAATTCAAATTGTGGACACTGTATATTGTGTGTTCTCGGTCATAATCAATATATTTGAAAATGTGGAAAATGCACATATGTATCATTAAGTTGATGATTTTACAAAGTTTAAAGACTATACAAAAACGTGGATTCCCATCAGATGGGGTTTCCAAAAAGCACCATGTATTTCTGTCAGATGAATAGTTACATCTATGCATTTACAAAGAACCACTAATATTCCATTTCATTCCAATAACAAGGTAATTGAAACAACAAAAAGCATATCCTAGCACCATGGTGTCCACCACACTAGCCATTAACCACATGTGGCTATTTGGCTACTGCTTCAGAACTGATTGGACATCACAGACCTAGCATATATAGCTAAAAAAACCAATTTGACTTGAATGGTACTTAGTCCAAGGGTTCCACACAAAAATTTTAGTTATACTGAGCACCCAAAAGAAAATTTGTATAGCTCATGTTTTGATATTTGTGATTTTTTCAGCAGACAAGTTATCAGTATACAAACAAACACGTGACTAAACTATTTAAACTCAAACTTTTAAGAATCATATTGTAATTTCTGAGATTTCCTATTTCGTATGCAAAGCTTCCCCCACAATTTTGATTGGTTACCATAGATATAAACTCAGATGACTACTTGGCAACTATAATGGTGATGATAATGGACACAACAGTGAAAGCCTTCCGTTATGAGTCAGTTTCCTGTGAAACTCATTCCAGGAATTGTAGTGCTTGACAAATCAAACATTTCTGTAACTAATGTTACAAAGTTAAAGGATGAACACTAGCACTAGGAATAAGCTAAGAATAATGCAAATTAACAAATCAGTATAAAACTTTGCACCAGTTTATTTGCAAATTAGCAAGGCATAAATTATGATTCCTTCCTGTATGTAAAACTATAGTATACTAGGTGATTTGCTTTAAAAAGGACACACAGGTTGTAGTAATTCTCAAATGTAGGACTAACTGTAAATAGAACACTGGCCTAGAGAAGAGCTGTATGTCTGATGCAGAGCAGGGATATTTTTTCATTGTTGAGTTTTGGGCTTCTGCAGAAGACAGACCTTTCATCAGCTGAATGAAAGCCACTTAGGTCAACACAAGGTGACTTAACTTTTAACCAGGCCTATGTCTACACACACACACTTACTTAGATTTGTCTCTGGCAAACCTCAGTGCCACATTACAATACACAGTGTAAACATTGCATGACCCGTGTCAACCCTAATAGTTCTTGAGCAGTTGTTCTACAATGCCCCATTTCCTACTACAGTGACTGCTCTGGTCACAACTGTAAATTCCACTGCCATGGGCCACTTTTAAAACTTTCTGCTTGCGGTTGAAATGCTATTTCCTGATCGCCCACTTTGGAAAACCAACAATAGAACACCACTTGTCATCACCTACAGCCCCCAACTTAAACCTGTC